CAAAGTGAGGTGTATAACTTGTGTCAGTGTTAGAAATGAAACCCCTTTAAAGGTAAACCAGACCAATTCCAGAGTTGAATGAGAGCAGAGGATGATCATTGGGCTTTGCATGGAAGAGTTAGGTCCAATGTAAACAAAAAGATTGTGTTCATGCATGACAATGGTTGTAATTTGCTTGTTGTTTAGATTGTCAAACAGATGATTGGTTGGTGGTTTCATTAGAATCCCTACAGGGTGGAAACAGACCATTTGGCCCATTGAGTTCATGCCAAACCTCCGAAGAGTATCCCACCCAGACCCACCCGCCTAACTAACCCAGTAACCCTGCATTTCCCATTGCTAGCCTGCACATCCCACTATGGGGCAATTTAGCATGGCCAAACCACCGAAGCTGCACATCTTTGGACTGTGGGAGGAAACCCACGCAGGCACAAGGAGAACGTGCAAACGCGACACAGACATTCACCCGAGGCTGGAATCGAACCTGGGACCCTGGCACTGTGCTAACCACTAAGCCACCGTGCTGCCCGTTATTAAAAAGTGAGCTGCGTTCAAGACATTTAGAGAGAGAGGTTGGCACCACAGAAATCGCGGTGTATTATTTCCCCACTTCAACACCATTTTCATTTTAGCCTCTCCCTCTTTTACCTACCCTTCCTTGATTTTTGTTATTGTTATGTTATTTGTTCATTAGTCAATTGGGTGATTTGGTGGTGGGTTTTTCAAAAGGACACACACAAAAGGCTGGGTTCTTCCTCGAGTTGGGTGTTGGCTTGTGAACAGGGAAAGGGTCTTCAATGTGATAAAGCAGCTTATCACTACCTTCTTACGGCCATTTTATTTCTGAGCAATGATAAAGTGGTTTGAGTAGGCCATTTAAATCTGGATGATGATTAACTGCTTTGGTCAGTGGCACCTACATCTAATGAAGAAACTTTTACAAAACTGATTACATTTTTTTCCTGTCGTTCCAGTCAGATGAGAAATAAATTTCTCAAGCATATTGTTTTCCACCTTCTCGTTTTTTTTTTTTGGGACCATAACTCATTCGAGATTTAAGATAGAATCAGAGATAGTAGGAACTGCAGATGCTGGAGAATCCGAGACATCAAGGTGCAGGGCTGGATGAACACAGCAGGCCAAGCAGCATCATAGGAGCAGAAAGGCTGACGTTTCGGGCCTTTCATCAGAAAAGGGGGAGGGGAAGGGGGTTCTGAAATAAATAGGGAGAGAGTGGGAGGTGGATAGAGGAGAGGATAGGTGGAGAGGAAACAAACAGGTCGAAGAGGTGGGGATGGAGCCAGTAAAGGTGAGTGTAGGTGGGGAGTTAGGGAGGGGATAGGTCAGTCCAGGGAGGACGGACAGTTTAAGGGGGCGGGATGAGGTTAGTCGGTAGGAGATGGGGGTGCGGCCAGACGCCAACTCTCCGACACCTCCTCCTACCGGCCCCTTGATCACGACCCCACCCCTGAGCACCAAACCATCATCTCCCAAACCATCCACAACCTCATCACCTCAGGTGACCTCCCACCCACGGCCTCCAACCTCATCGTTCCCCAACCCCGCACCGCCCGCTTCTATCTCCTTCCCAAAATCCACAAACCTGAATGCCCTGGTCGACCCATTGTCTCCGCCTGCTCCTGCCCCACTGAACTGATCTCCAACTATCTGGACTCCATTTTCTCCCCCTTGGTCCAGGAACTCCCTACCTATGTCCGTGACACCACCCACGCCCTCCACCTCCTCCAGAACTTCCAATTCCCCGATCCCCAACACCTCATCTTTACCATGGACGTCCAATCCTTCTACACCTGCATTCCCCATGCAGATGGCCTAAAGGCCCTCCGCTTCTTCCTGTCCCGCAGGCCCGACCAGTCCCCCTCCACTGACACCCTCATCCGCTTAGCCGAACTCGTCCTCACCCTCCACAACTTCTCTTTCAATTCCTCCCACTTCCTACAGACAAAGGGGGTGGCCATGGGTACCCGCATGGGCCCAAGCTACGCCTGCTTCTTTGTAGGTTACGTGGAACAATCCCTCTTCCGTACCTACACCGGCCCTAAACCCCACCTCTTCCTCCGTTACATTGATGACTGTATCGGCGCCACCTCGTGCTCCCACGAGGAGCTCGAACAATTCATCCATTTCACCAACACCTTCCACCCCAACCTTAAGTTTACCTGGACCATCTCTAATACCTCTCTCCCCTTCCTGGACCTCTCTGTCTCCATATTGGGCAACCACCTAGAAACCGATATTCATTTCAAGCCCACTGACTCCCACAGCGACCTAGAATACTCCTCCTCCCACCCACCTTCCTGCAAAAATGCTATCCCCTATTCCCAATTCCTTCGCCTCCGCCGCATCTGCTCCCAGGATGAGGCATTCCACTCCCGTACGTCTCAGTTGTCCTCGTTTTTCAAGGACCGTAACTTCCCCCCCCTCAGTGGTCGAGAACACCCTCAACCGTGTTTCCCACATCTCCCGCAACTCATCCCTCACACCCCGTCCACGCAATAAGAACCAAAAAAGAATCCCCCTCGCCCTCACGTACCACCCCACCAACCTCCGGATCCAACGCGTGATCCTCCGACACTTCCGCCATCTGCAATCCGACCCCACCACCAAAGACATCTTTCCCTCCCCACCCTTATCTGCTTTCCGGAGGGACCACTCTCTCCGTGACTCCCTTGTCCGCTCCACACTCCTCTCCAGCCCCACCACACCCGGCACTTTTCCCTGCAACCGCAGGAAGTGCTACACCTGCCCCCATACTTCCTCCCTCACCCCCATTCCAGGCCCCAAGAAGACTTTCCACATCAAGCAGATGTTCACCTGCACATCTGCCAATGTGGTATACTGCATCCGCTGTACCCGGTGTAGCTTCCTCTACGTCGGGGAAACCAAGCGGAGGCTCGGGGACCGCTTTGCAGAACACCTACGCTCGGTTCGCAATAAACAACTGCACCTCCCAGTCGCGAACCATTTCAACTCCCCTTCCCATTCCTCAGACGACATGTCCATCCTGGGCCTCCTGCAGTGCCACAACGATGCCACCCTAAGGTTGCAGGAACAGCAACTCATATTCCACTTGGGAACCCTGCAGCCCAATGGTATCAATGTGGATTTCACAAGCTTCAAAATCTTCCCTCCCCCTACCACATCCCAAAACCAGTCCAGCTCGTCCCTGCCTCCCTAACCTGTTCTTCCTCCCACCTATCCCCTCCTCCCACCTCAAGCCGCACCCCCATCTCCTACCGACTAACCTCATCCCGCCCCCTTGACCTGTCCGTCCTCCCTGGACTGACCTACCCCCTCCCTAACTCCCCACCTACACTCACCTTTACTGGCTCCATCCCCACCTCTTCGACCTGTTTGTTTCCTATCCTCTCCTCTATCCATCTTCTATCTGCCTCCCACTCTCTCCCTATTTATTTCAGAACCCCCTTCCCCTCCCCCTTTTCTGATGAAGGGTCTAGGCCCGAAACGTCAGCCTTTCTGCTCCTATGATGCTGCTTGGCCTGCTGTGTTCATCCAGCCCTGCACCTTGTTGTCCGAGATTTAAGATACCTTGTTTTGCCTGAAATCCTCATGCAATGTGCTTTTACTTGAAGTCGATGGACATGTTGCTGCAATGACAGAATAATAAATGAATGATACAATGAGATCAAAGTTGCTTTTTTCTCCTTTCTTATTAAACAGTGTATTTGACTATTTGAGATGGATCTGCCAGGCTGAGCACGGAACTCTTCTAAAAGTCCCAGACACTTCTCCACAAGTGGGGATTTTATATCCATGCTATTGAGACAACCGCAGTTTTATTTTAGCATAATGATCATTTTAACCCTTGCCTAAATGATCCTAGCTGTAGGTTTCCTGTCTTATAGCAGGGTTTACAGTTCTGAAGCATGAATTACCTCTCCAGCAGTGTTTCATGGGTCAAGTTTGGATCTTCAACTGTCTGAAAAAACATTTACAACTAGCTTGATAAGAGATAGCAAGGACTGCAGATGCTGGAAGTCAGAGTGGATAAAATGTGGAGCTAGGGGAACACAGCCGGTCAGACAGCATCAGAGGAGCGGGAAAGTCGACGTTTCAGGTCGGGGACCCTTCTGAATAATGAAGGGTCCCAACCCGAAACATCGACTTTCCTGCTCCTCGAATGCTGTTTGACCTGCTGTGCTCCCCCAGCTCCACACTTATCAATTTACAACTAGCTTCATTTTTAGCCAGACAACAGCTAGTATTAATAAACTATTGCTGGCTGAAACATAAGTGATGAGATCTGGAGGAAAGAACAATGAGTGATACAGCACGGAAACAGACCCTTCAGTCCAACTTGTCCGCGCTGGCCAGACATTCAAATCTGACCATTTGGCTCATATGCCCATCCAGATGCCTTTAAAATGTTGCAGTTATCCCCATCTCCACCACTTCCCTTGGCAGCTTGTTCCTCTGTGTGAAAAAGTTACCCCTCAGGTCCTTTCTTAAATCTTTTCCCACTCACCTATGCCCTTTAGTTTTGGACATGGCATATTAAAGAATTTTGGAAATGCGAGAGCAAGATGATTGCCATAGACACAGACCTGGTGGGCAGATGGGCCTCCTCCTATGCTGTATGACACTATTAGACTGGCTTGGATTAGAATGGGAGTGGTGGTGTGAGGGAAAGTAAATATAAAAATAACCACACTACATGGGAGGACTAATTACCAAAAAAACTAAGGTGCGGAAAAGAGATGGAGTGTGAGATTTTGGCAATCCTCCCTCTATTTATTCAGATCTTGACCAAGCAAACAAGCTTCACAGGAAAATGTTATTTGCATTCGCTTTTATTTTATATTTAGCAACTTATTTTAACTTAAATGTTGCTTCATAAAGGAATGTACTGAACATGCACAGTGTTTCACATTATAATGTCCAAAAAGTCCTAACTCTGAGTTACATATTATGTCTTGTGTGTACATCTGATTCGCTCCATGTTGTTTCATTCTTGATAGTACACTTCAAGGGGACATCTAAAACATTGTGTGAGGAATTATTCTACAGTCCTCTGAACACAAGAAAACAGACCAAAGGATGCCCCAAAAAACTCGGACTTTCTTTTAATCAACCTGATCAAGCATCTTAATGACACACACTCTGAAGCAAGCGGGACTTGAACCTGAACCCGGATCTCCAGGATCAGAGGTGAGGACTCCAAAGCAATCGGAGAGACAACCTCAAAAGCTCTAAATTGGACTTCATTATGCCTGGAGACATCCAAATGTTGAAGTTTCTGTCATCAAGCAATGTCAGAAAACAAGAGCCAAATCTGTTTTCAACAGAGCCAGTTACACACTGCAAGGCCACTTCCCTCCAACACTACTTTCAAGTTTATTATTTGCAATAGAATTCACAAATCAAAACTTGGCTTATCGCGCGTGTGTCAATACAAATCTTGCCTGAAAATTTTGTCTCCTTGCTCAGGCCCCCATCCATCAAAACAATAAGAGAATCCATCAGTTTCATTTGGATATCCTTTGTTGATAGGACTGCAAGTGAGCATTTGGCAATGGAGGTGATGTAATGTTGACAGGATTTGCAAAGAAACTTTTCAAAGGTATGCTCACACCCAAAAAATAATGTTTCTTTTGTTCCACCACACTATTAGTTTCTTACTCCATTTGATATTAGATAATTAAGCAACCGATTCCTCAAATATTAGTGATTAGTGCGAGTAACGACTGAATTGCTCACAATCCACACATATAGTTCTGTAGTTTTCCCTGACCAGTCACTTCAATAAAGTTTGATGGTTTATGCTTGAATAACAATGACCTTTCTTTCATACATCATTAAACTACCCATTGCTTTAGGCCAAGCAGCATCATTGGAGCAGGAAGTGCCATTGCTTTATGTTGACACAAGGTTAATGTCATGGGTTTGTAATGATCAGATTTTTGGCAATCGCTGTAGTTATAATTGTGGTCATCGTTTTTAAAAAAAGAGCCAAAGTCTGCACATAGTGACACCCCCTAATAAATCCCAGCTAGAATGCAGTTGATGACATGTGACTAATCATGGCTGAAGACCACGTTGTTGTAAACAAGGAGATTAATATTTCCCACAAAATTTGTACTATTTATGTATCTTCCGCAACCTGCATTTTGTTGGACAAATTGTCCTGTTGCTTCTGGGTCATTCTGTCCATTGCAGCTGATTTATGAATTTAGAGACTCAGTTCAAATCACAAGCCTATCTAGAATGCATAGGGAGACACAGTAAAAGTAAAAGCAAGCCCAGGTTTGGAATACCCTGTCCAGCTCCAATGACTGCTGTTGTTCATTCACTAGTGAGCTGGTGGGAGTAAATAGTAAACTTTTTATTTTGTTGTCTCACTTCACTTTAACCCAGCCATAGAGTCATACATGACAGAAACAGACTCTTCGATCCAATTCATCCATGCCAACCAAGTTTCCCAAACTAAACTTGCCCCATTTGCCTGCATTTGGCCCATATACCTCTAAACCTTTCCTATTCATGGACCTGTCCAAACGTCTTTAAATGTTGTAACTGTACCTGCATCTACCACTTCCTCTGGCAGTTCGTTCCACATATGAACCACGTTCTGTATGAAAAAGTTACCCCTCAGGTCCCTTTTAAATCCTTCTCGTCTCGCCTTAAAAATATGCCTCCTAGTTTTGAACTCCCCCGCTTGGTGAAAGACCTTTGCTATTCACCTTATTTATGCCCTTCATGACTTTATAAACCCGTATAAGGTGACCTCTTGTCCTCCTACACTAGGGGCAATAAGTCCCAGCCTATCTGGCCTCTCCTTAAAACTCAAACCCTCCAGTCTTTGCAACATCCTGGTAAATCCTTTCTGAACCATCTCCAATTTAATAATGTCCTTCGTACAACAGGGCAACCAGAACTATACACAGTGCTCCAGAAGAGGCCTCACCAGCATTCTATACAACCTCACCATAATGTCCCAACTTCTATACGATTGGTCTGAGCAAAGACTAGTGTGCTAAATGCCTTCTTAGCCATCCTGTCTACCTGTGAGACAACTTTCAAAGAACTATGTACCTGAACCCCTAGGTCTGTCTGTTCTACAACACTAGCCAGGGCTCTACCATTAACTGTAGGTCTTGCCCATGTGTTCGGGAGTCAAGTTAAATTCAGCAAAAATGTTAGAGTGTCAGAAAGTTAGATTCAACCTGTCAACTTCCATGTTGAACTTGTGCTGTTTGAACTACTTGAGTACAGCACACTCAGGAGAGCTGGATTGTTCTATTAATAAATGGAAATTGCTCAACAGCAGTGATGTTTCAACACACTCTTAACTGTAATGTTGCATCAATTTCCCTGGCTTCCTGGAAGTCATCAGTGAAAACTGGGTGCGAGCATAGCAGTGAATGAAAAAGCTGGCTGGAACACATGCCAACACGACCACGCAGATAAATCACATGACAGCATTTGATCAGAATGGTTCTGCTGCAGATTTTCTTCCCACACTTTAAGGCTTACTGGTGCATGGGAAGTTGCCTTAGCAGCAGAAGTAGGAAGAGGCTGCCATTCATAGATTGAATGGATTGCAGATCAGCGACTGGGGGGCAAAGAGCAGCAGGGGTGAGCAGATGAGGAGCAGACATTTCACAGCACAACTGGATGCTGCCACATTTCACTTTCTCGTTAACAGCAGCAGTTCTTTCACTTTCTGCCTTGGAAGCCAGTCTGTGATTCATGGGGAAAGATGTCAATGGAAACCTTTAGTTTTATCCCACTGTCATCTCAGACCATGTCTGTGTAATTTAGTTCTAATTGAAATCTTGCTACCTGGTGTGCACTGTCCGTACAAAGGAACAAGAACAGTTGTCTGCTCTCCATACCGATCCTGGAAATCATCAAGGATGCTGAGCTTTGCACGTGATATTTGATTTCATGCTCATCCAGGAATAGGATTTTAAAGCAGCAGTCGAGCAGTATTTAAACTGACATTTTTAAGTATAGCCTTAACATAGCTACTTGATTAATGTCTTATTTTTCAATTACAATTTAATTAATGTTAATCTTCTATGTCGGTCTGGTTGCTAATAATGCAATTTTCTTAATTAATACATGAGCGTGATTATAAGTGCAGAGTCTTAATATAAAATTGTCTTTCATTGTTAGCATACTCCAGTGAATATAATCATACAGTCTCCAGATAGGCAGAGATTAGATACACTGTTAGAATCCCAGCTATTGGGAATACTGGATAAGTAAGTTCCCGGGTGGGACACGGCTTCAGAGACCATAACTTTGATTTTTATTATTTTTACAGTGGTACTCTGTCACTGAACAAATTCAGAGAGGCTACCAATTTACTTCTGACAGAAAAAAACACAAATTATCACACAAAAGTAAAAGCACGGACCATATTATACTAGGCAAGAAATATTGGAACGTAGTCATTATAGTTTTCAATTAGAAAGATTCAACTCTTTTACCCCAACAATAACCTTACAGATACTCAAAATGTAAGTGAAAGCTCACTCCTACCTCCCCACTAAAGCTCCTTGTTCACCTGGCACAGCTATAATCAGTTTCATTTTCCGCAAATTACTGTGCATTCACTCGATGCAATTTCTTTAAATAATATGTATGCACAAATCCTTTTAACTAGGCTGCTAATTCAGCTCTCTATTAAAGCTGAACATGGGTTCCTTGTAGAATGGCATCAACCTTGTAGGACCTCTTCCTTTCTGACATCCCACACAGATTCTTGCTTCTGCAGTTTTCTTCCGAGGACAAATCAGGACTCTTGCTCTGCCTCACCTATTTCTGGAGACTGCCTCTAACAACACCTTCGCTGTTATGGACTTCTCTCTGAGTGAACTTGTTTACTGCCCCTGTCCCTTGGTTACAGTTAGCAAACACCTCAACAAAATTTTTGCTCGGTAGTTTGGAAGTCATTTAGCTAAAATTACATGCTGCCTTGGAATTTTTTTTTCAGAACTCCCTGTGGAAAATGACTTTCTAATCTCTTTTTTTAAAAAAAGACCTTATCAGAACACAAAATGAAAATTCACTTTTCCTCTACTTCGGGACATAAGTTCCCAAATAATAAAAATAATACATTATGAGCCTTTATCACTGTAGCCTAAAAGATGAGCAATGGGACCTCTTGGAAGTGCCCACGTGCAATGACTAGACTGGAATTGCCCAAGAATTTGTAACTTCTGTTGGGTAATTAAACTGTATCTGGAGCCCTCTGAAAAAATATCCACAATTCTTTGTTAGTTCAGACATTTTTTAATCTCGATAGGTACCAGGAACATTAGATAATTAAAACTTGTTCTAACTCTGAGATAACTATATTAGTAACTTCCCAACCACTTTAACTGAGTTCCTCCAACCCCCCAAAATCAATTTTACCTGGCCATGACCCCTCCCTGTCCCCCTGATCCCACACCTGACTGCCTCTCTCCCTGTCTTCCATCCTACCCAATTGCTACTCTTCCCTCCTCTCACCAATGTCCTGCTAGCCTGCCCCCCCCAACCACTTATCTTCTCTGTGTAGCCTCCCAGGGAGGCTTTGCACATTTAAACTTCGTTTGTTTTTCAGCCTCCAGTGGCTAGTGCTGTGAAAAAAAATGTGGGGCATAGTTTCCACAAAGAACATCTGTGGTCTTCTCTGTGAGGATCACCATACTTGAAGACTTCTGTAGGATTCACAGACAGCTCAAAACCCGGCAGGTAAAGGACTATGCAACTTGTTGTTTGACCTGGGTTCCAACCCAGTTGGGAAGATTTGGGCTAATTTGAAAGAAGTCTGTGTCATAGAGTCATAGAGATGTACAAGACAGAAACAGACATTAATTTATCCTATGTTAATCTCGTCCCATTTGGCAACATTTGGCCCATATCCCTCTAAAACTTTCCTATTCATGTACCCATCCAGATGCCTTTTAAAAATTGTAATTGTAGCAGCCTCCATCACTTCCTCTGGCAATTTGTCCGCACACAAACCATTCTTTGTGTGAAAAAGCTGTCCCTCAGGTTTCTTTTTAAATCTTTCCTCTCTCGCCTTAAACCTAAGCCCTCTTGGATTCCCCCAACCATAGGCAAAAGACCTTGGCTTTTCACCCTATCCTCGCTTCTCATGGTTGTATAAACCTCCATAATGTCACCTCTCAGCCTCCAACACTCCAGGGAAAAAAAGCCCCAGCCTATTCAGCCTTTCCCTAGAACTCCAGCCCTCCAGTCTCAGTAACATCCTTGTAAATCTTTTCTGAACCCTTCCAGGCTTAACAACATCCTTCTATAGATGGGCGACCAGAATTGAATGCAATATTCTCAAAGTGGCCTCACCAGTGTCCCGTACAGCCACAACATGATGTCCCAACTCCTATACTCAATGCACTGACCAATGAAGGCAGGTGTGCTAAACACCTTCTTCACCACCCTGTCTACCTGTGACTCCATTTTCAAGGAACTATGCACCTGCACCCTTAGGTCACTTTATTTGGCACCACTCCTCGGCCTGTGGATGGGCAAGTTAGGCTAAAATCTACTGCCGTGGGTTTACTTTGTGAGTTAAGTGCCTTATTTCTGCTGTTGATCCAAACCTTGCACAATGTTGTGCTGAGCACATACTTCATGATCTCTCTACATAGCTCTGAAGTAACCCCTAAATCTGACTTGGATTCTGAAGCTCATCTTCAACACTCCAATGGTTTGATCATTTCTCTAATGGTCATATGATGTTCACTGTACCTCCTAGACTTCATTATTTGACATTCTGATGGGTGGCACCAGCTTCTTTTAAATGGTGTATTCC